CAACTCTTCTGATCATTCTTTTCACTCGGCTTTCCATGCCTTTTTACACCTCCCTTTCTTCATGTGTTCAATACTTTTTCCCTGTGCCATTCCACATTATTACAAATAACTTCATTTCTGGACATTTATGGTTTGATTTCTTTGTATGTATGGATCACTTGGGTTGTTACCAACATCTGGTGAACATTTCATGTCATTAGCACCTCTAGTAATATATTTACTGAGAAAAATGTTGACGTGTTCAATACTTATTTTACCCGCTGTATGTGGAGGTGGTTTACAGCAGTTTTGGCTGCGTATCATGTTTGCTCCTAAAACCTGAACACATTTACATAATGATATATGGTTTATTTGTCAACCATAACATACACCCTGCAGAAGGCTACAGATCACAATAACAAATGCATTTACAACAATTAAAATAAAAACATGTTTAAAAAATATTTGTGTCAAATTTGAAGTGCAGCCAAGAAAGTTGTTTTATATTCAGAATTTAATGAATCAGATCAGAAGCTGGTACATCACAAACCATAATATACACTTAAAGATGAGCAACAATCCAATCTTTAATTGGATATATAACTATCATGTAATTCTACATGGTACTCACCAGAGGTGTATAATAACAAAGTACATTTACATTGTTACAGTACTTAAGTACTTTTTTAAAATCATAACTATTAGTTATTTCATTACATCCGAAACATAAAAATTATACTTGTACTTCTTTACATTAAAAAAATGTAGCATCCCATRATACACTTCAACTTTAAATAAAACTGGAACTCATGAAGGGAATTGTTTATGCATTCGAGAAAATGAAGTTGAATTTACTTCACTGAGTTATGTCATCTGGTTCCACTAAACCGAATTGAGCAAAATGAGTAATTTACACTTGTTCTGTTAACGAACACGTGCATATTCCTTAATTTGCTCAACTCAGAACCACTGGAAATTTCCTTTTTTTAAGCTGCTTTGGGTCAAACAGCTTTTCCTGCTRGAGGGAACATGTGGAATTTCCACACTTAACTGATGTCCATTTTAGAGTAAAACTGAAGCATTTCCTGAAGGAAKACCAGCMTTGTAGTCGTGAATAACTGTGAACTTTTAATGGTTTGGTTTTAAGTTGGTTTGTGAGTTTATGATTGAATTTTAAGACTGTTATGTTTTTATTTAACTGTATTTTACACTTTTGTTTCATGTTGCTAAAAGCCCATCTAGGAATCATAGGAATGGTCTCTGCAAACTAGCTATAAATGTTGTAGTGTATAGTGTTGTTCATACTTAAAACTTGTACCTATTTAAATAAACAATAAATGAAATGAAAAGACAAWTTTTTTTTTTACCAGTCGTTTTCTTTTAAGGTATTCTACTTTTACTTAGCCCCACCCCCAAGTCGTTTATACACTTCTGGTAGTCACTGTCCATAAA